CTGTGAATGGCCTAAAATGAGACAATGTGAGCAAGAATAAGAATAAAAACTGCAATGGATGGAAATTTACCAACCATGTTTAACATTATACATTCACACTAACACTAAAAAATCTTTTGGAAAATGCTAGAGGATCAATCCTTATTTTGAAAGCTGAAAATAAAGAGAAATAGTCTGATTTTTTTGTAATCCTTTCTTAAACAAACTGAGGATATGAAAATATGAGGATAATGAATAGTAGTTGAGGGGGGTATTTCTCTTTACAGAAATATTCCATTTCACATATGCAGATGGCATGATAGAAGTAGAAATTTGAAACTCCTAATGAAATAATAAATCTAGGTCATAAGTATTTATGTCTGCTAATATAACAAAAAGAAGACAATCAGATATTATGTACCTTCCATTGGAAGTACACAATACCAACTAAGAAGTATTCCTGCCAAAACTCAAGCCTCAGATCTAGCTACCAATTTATAGAAAGTACAGGGAATAGAAAATTATGTTAAACAACTCCATGACTATGCAGTTAACATCATCTAAACTGTGGAAACCATAGGATGAGCCATTTACTTTCTTTAACAAAAAATTTGCAAGGAAAAAATAAGACATGGATGAGGGACTGTTTCGATTAGAATAAACTTGAGTCTTATCAGCCAATTACAGTATATGGACTTTATTTGGATTCTGGATTATGAACATTTATATATTATATATCATATATATCATAAGTATATATGTAAGCATATACACACTCACATAAACACACTTGTGATTTAATTGATAAATTTTTAACACTGCCTGTATAGCTGATAATTTTTTAAATTATGAGGGTTTTTTTAAGATGTGATCAAAGAATTCAAAAGGAATATTTATCTTTTTTATATACACTGAAATTTTTTGGAATGAAATGATGTGGCATCTGGAATAATTCAAAAATAATCTAAGGTGAGGGAGGAAGTAGAACAGGCGAAAAAAGATTTAGTGAGTTGATAATTGTTGAATCTGAGTGATAAGTACATGGGGTTTTATTATCATATTTTCTCCATTGTTGTATATGTTCAAAATGTTTCATCATAAAAAGTTAAGACACGAAGATGACTAGAACATTTTTAAAAGATGAAGCTTCACTACTAGCTAAGATGTAACAAAAAAGACCAGATTTGTCTTCCCACCTGAAAAAAAAATCATACAAAATACATGAGACCATGGGTTTTTGGACACTAAACAGAAGCAAAAAAAGAAATGGGTACCAACTGAAGGTAGTCTACAGTTGCTCAGCTTACTGCCTTTAGAGTGTTTCCAGACTGCTATGGCAAGAAGGGTAACCCAGATAAAGCCCAGAGGACTCCCTGAGTTCAGTACAGAGATGAGAATCTGTGGAGATTAAGGTGGCTTGAGTTCACAGAACACAGTACTGGAAAGGAGAAAATTGCACAGAGGGAGAACTACAAAGACCTGCAGAGGCTCCCCCTTTAGTATTCAACAGACTAGTCATCAGCACAAGCATATGAGGGAACTACTAGCAAATGAACAATTGGACATATATGTTTAAAAATATCATCTACAATAGCATCAAAATATGAAATACTTAGGAATAACTCTGAGAAAGAATGTGAAAGACCCATTCATTGAAACCTGCAAAACACTACTAAGAATTCAAAGGAGACTTAAATAAATGGAGAGATATACCATGTCTATAGGTCACAAGACACAAATTTGTTAATATGCAATTTTCCACAAATTGATTTATAGATTCAACACAATTGACCGGCTGATTCTATTAATAAAATTCATAAAGAAATGCAAAGGGTCTAATATTGCCCAAGCAACTCTGAAACAGAACAAAGCTGAAGGACTAACACTGTCTTATTTCAGGACTTATTATAAAGTTACGTTGTGTGGCATTGGTATAAAGGGAGGCAAGTAAATCAGTAGAATAGAATAGGAAGGCCAGAAATAGCTCCACCCAGGTATAGGCAACTGATTTTTAACAAAGCTGCAAAGGCAATTTGGTGGAGAAAAGGTAGTCTTTTCAACAAATGGCACTGGAACATTTGGATTATCTCTTTGCCAAAAATGAACTTCAATTAAAAAAACAATTCAAAATGCATTACAGACCTAAATGTAAAACCTAAAACAGTAAAACTTGTAGAAATCAACATAAGAAATCTTGATGACCTTGGATTACACAAAGATATCTTAGGTATGACACAAAAAGTATGATCTACAAATGAAAAATGGATAAACTGGCCTTTAACAAAAGTAAAAACATCCGCCCTTCAAAAGACACTGTGAAGAGAATGAAAAGATAAGCTATAATAGACTGAGGAAAATATTTGGAAATCATATCTTATAAAGGATTTATATTCAGGATATAGAAAGAATTCTCAAAATTTAATGACAAGAAAACAATCTAATAAGAGATGTAAACAGACACTTCACCAAAGAAGATATAATAGTAGCAAATAAAAATATTAAAAATATGTCTCATACCATTAGTCATTAAGAAAATGGAAATTTAAAAAAATTATATAATCACATACATCTTAAATGAAAAAGACTGATCATATTAAATGTGGGCAAGAATGTGGAGCAACTGAAACTCTCATACACTGCTGGTGGGAATGTAAAATGGTACAACTACTTTGGAAAACAGTTTGGTACTTTCTTTAAAAGTTAGACATTTTCTACCATATGACCCAGCCGTTCTACAGATAGCTATTTTCTGATAAGAAATGAATGTGTATGTCCATACAAAAACTCGAACCCAAATGTTTATAGTGGCATTTTCTGTAAGAACCCAAACTAGAAACAGCCTAAATTTCCATCAACAGGTGAATAGATGGACAAATCCATACAATGGGATTATATCAGGAATAAAATGAACTGTTGATATACTTAAAAAACTAGATGGATTTCAAAGTATTGATAAACTTTGATCCCAATAAAATTAATCTGAAATATATTATGAAAGACAAAATATGTGTACTGTACAATACCATTTATGTAAAATTCTAAACATGCACACTGATGATTGACTGAGGATGGGGATGGGTAGAAAAAAGTTGAGAGGGAAGATTACAAACAGGCACAAGGTAACTTTTAGGGGTAATGGATCATCATTATCCTATTGTAGTGATACTTTCACAGGTATGTGTATGTCAAAACTATGAAATTATACACTTTAAATGTGAACTCAAGTTTCTCATCTCTTTAAATAAATACACAGAAAAAGATGCATATGAAGATGAGAGTAGTAGGAACAATTAGAAATACAATTTAAATCCTTGTTCTGATTCCATATGGACAACACATAGATCTAAAATACTGGGACTTATGGCCCTGGGCCTTGTGCTGAGCTGCCCCAGTCCCAGTACTGGTGGCAGTCAGGCTCTGTTTACAGCATGGCTTCTCCCACACGCCTTCAGGTCTAGCACAGGCAGCGGCCAACCACAGATCACTTTGTAGCTCCTACTAGGTAGCACTGGGCTGATCACCGGCAGCAGCTGACCTTGGCCTGAATGGGAGCCCCTCCCAAGAGACACCTAGAGGCTGGCTTCAGACCACAACAGACCACTACTCAATTAGCCCCACAAGCGGCACACCCAAAGGGTGGTCTCAACAGGCACATGAGCTCATGGGGGCAAATCTGCTCTGTGGAGTCATCTCACACACAGCAGCTCTTACACTGTGACCATGGCCAATCCTCACAGCCAGTCACCCTGAGACTCAGTCTCACCCACTGATGTGTCAACAGCAATCAAGGCTCAACTACAACAGGAGGACACACACAACCCACACAAGGGAAACTCCTGGAATACATGGTGCAGGTATCAGGGAGACTGCATCACTGAGTCACAAAGGACTCCTAATATATCAGGCCACCTGGTGAAGACTGAGAGACATAAGAGATCTTACCTAATACATAGATGTGAACAAAGAGAGGCAGCCCAAATGAGGAAACAAAGAAACTTGTCCCAAATGAAAGAACAGAAGAAAACTCCAGAAAAATAATTAAATGAAATGGAGGCAAGCAACCTATCAGAGACACTGGTTATAAAGATACTCAAGGAACTTAGTGAGAATTTCAACAGAGATAGTAAGCATTAAAAAAAAGAACACAGAAACCATATCAATGACTAAGGTTAAAGCTAAAGAGAGAAGCCTCAACGCAGCAAAAGAAAGGCAACTAGTTACTCATAAGGGAGTTCCCATAAGACTGTCAGCTAGTTGCTCAACAGAAACTTTACAGGCCAGAAGGGATTGGCATGAAATATTCAAAGAGATGAGAAGCAAGAACCTATAATCCAGAGTATTCTATCCAGCAAGGCTATCATTTAAAATTGAAGGAGCAATAAAGAGCTCTCAGACAAAAAAAAAAAAAAGTAAAGGAGTTCATTAAACCAGTATTACAGGGAATGTTAGGTACTTCTTTAAGATGAAAAAAAAATCGATAAAAATATGAATAATAAAATGGCAATAACAGGCCGGCCGAGTGGCGCGATGGTTAAGAACTGGATTGGGACAGCAGAGGGCCCCGGTTCGGATCCCACATATGAGGGCCAGTGACACTGCCCTCCACAGCTAAGATGCTGAA